CAATGTGACAATTTAATGGCTCTATCTGTAAGTGCCGTTATTACACTTTTTTTATATTTCATTGGAGCGTACGATTGATAATTCAGATACCTACCAGACCATACCTCCTTTGTATACCAATTTGTTTTGATTTCCCCGTTGTTATAATAATTAATTGTTAGGTCTAGAAAGTTTATATAATTGCCTTTATCTTCTTCCAGAGTAAACTTTAGGGTGTCATGAAAGGCATTAAACTTATTTAGTGTATATTGAATTTTGTTTTTTGGCAGACACTTATAGTTTAATTTAGATATTATTTGTTCTTCCAAATTTTCCATTACCAAATTTGCAATTGTTGCTGCTATGGGAGAACCCATTGCTACTCCATATATCTGTGAATAGAACTTGTTTTTGTACTAGAAATATGTGGATTTTAAGCACAGCTCTACCGCCTCAATAAATTCTTTTTCGGGTAATTTTGTATGTTCTTTCATCTCTGCCCATTTATTTTTTATACAGCTTATTGAGAAATCTATTGGTATATTTGTATATAATGATACAACATCCAGTGATATTATCCGATGATTCTTTGGTATTTTTTGTTGTTTTATAAAATCACAAAAACTCCATGAGTCTTTAATGTAATATTGTGATTTTCCCAATACATTACTCAAAACTGCTGACAGATATTTAGACAATTGGTACGTTGGAGCATTTATGTTACTAACTATCGGTCGTAAATTTGTATCCGGATCTGAAACAAACTATCTTTTATAATTATGAGCAACCCGAGAATAAAATGTTTTCGCTTTATTCTGAAATTGAACCTGCCTTCGTAGTGGCGTTGCCAAATTAGGCAAAACTGAAAATTGACTGACCCAACTTCTGTCATTGTGTCTGACTTTCCAAAGTTAGGTTCACGTTAACTTTACAGCAGTTTATTTTTGTTAAAAGTAACTTCGTTATATCGGGCTGAATTGAACTAACTAAATGAAAAATTCGCCATGTCGGCTACATTTAAAAATGCTAAGAAGATGGAGAGACAGGAGCAGCTGCGGAAGCTGTTGAAAAATCACAAGAAAGTAGTAAAAGAAGTGAAGAAAATAGACTCACCTCTAGCAAAATATCCTTTACATTACTTTATAGAATAGTTTTATAGTCATATATTATACAGGAGCTGCTCTAGTTTGCTTGATTCTTATGAACATAATTTGACAAATCAGCAGCTAAAGACATACTGCTCATAATTTAAATTTTCCACTTTCAATGCGAATTGCTTCATATTTGATTTTGCTCTCCTTTCACAGGTTCAACATACTATTCGGTTTTGTTAATAAGCGTAATGAAATAATTGTACTGGTGCCTAATTTTTCGATTGCACTACATAACAAATATTCGGTCTACTCAAATTGTTAAAATAAACATGCTAAAATCATTTAAGCACGAAGTCCTTAAACATGAACTGTGACCAGAATTCTTTCACAAATGTTTTGAGTTTATTTGAATATTTGGAAATAATTATAGATTATTTGCCTTAACCATTCATTACATATAATGAATTAGGACAACTCACATGCATTCTTTGCAAATCAATAGTGCGCTCTGAAGCTGTGTGGGTGGTGCACATAAATGCCAAACAACACAAGGAAAATGTAGAAATAGCCAAAAAATTGAAAGAAAAAACCAACAACTTTACGACGCCTTTAAAAAGACCAATGACGCCCCCAATGCCAGATATCCCGGAAAAAAAGGTTAAAGGTACAACGCTTTCCATGATCGATTGAACGTTAAATAATAACATTCAGTAAATTCTAAATCAAACAATAGCAATTTGGCAATAAACTGAACGTTTAATTCATGCCCGATTAGGTATTTTAAAGAATGGGGTTGCTCCATCTGCAAAAGCTACTGGTTCAGGAACAAATAATGTACTTCAGATAAATGACCAATCTGAAAAACCCGGTGCCACCCATGTATTGTCTTTGCAGCAAATGAAAAATCGCCAAAAAGAAGCGGCGCATGAAGATCCGGGGGATCAAAATGCGTCCACTTCAATTCCAGAAGGATTTTTTGACGATCCCATTCAAGATGCTAAAGTAAGGAGTTCAAGATCCTTTCCCATACTAACAATAACTATTGTTCTCCATGTTGTAGGCGAGAAATCAAGAATATAAAGATCCATTGGAAGTAGAATGGAATAACTTTTTGAAAGAAATGAAAGTAATTGATAATGAAAGCGAAGCTATTATTGCAGAAGATCAAGATGAGGCCACAACAGAAAGACACATGGAGGAAATTGAAGAACAAATGGCATTATTCAACAGGTAACTATGGACAGATTAGGACGTATTTACATTATTATTAGGACGTAAAGTATTTGTCTACACAAAAAATGAACTTTTCTGACAGACATAATTGTTAACACTTAGATGTCACTATTTGAATTTATTTTCAGGGTACTTGATTTAGAAAAGAAAAAAGATGTAGCTGTTGAACTGTTAAACAAAATAAAGAATGAACCACGTACTGAGGATGAGGAGGATAGCGATGATATTGATGAATTTTTAGATTGGCGGCAGAAAAAAGCTTACTAATTTTTCAGTTAGATGCGTTCATATGTTTATATTTAATTATCTTACAGAAATAAACAATTTTGCTAGAGCTGTGGTTTTTTTTATTTATCACAATTGTTTACGTAGAATGAAATTTTTGTTTGATGCCCCCGTTTTACCAATTGAATCAGTGTTTTAAGCGTTCAAGACGTAGAGTAAAATTCCTGTATGTTCTAAAACGAAAATGATCACGAAGTAGTACAGTTCACGGCGTTTTTTGTAAAGGAGTCCATGATGGCATTTAATGGGCTTTCAAATGGCAAATAATATCCGATAGCCATTGAGCCTGCAAGAGACAAAAGGGAGAGAGTCTTTGGTAGATTTTCATAACACTTTGGGCTCTTATAGCTTGACATGTAGTTAAAACAATGCCTAAATTGCAGATCGACATTCCGTCCAGGTCATGATTTGGGAATGTTTCTCGTTGCTCGCACCAATAGCAGCGACGAAATAGTTGACTTGATTTTGATATGAGCTCGCATAGCAGTTTTTTGTCGAATTTTTGCCTTTTGTTCAATTTCATAAAAATTTCAACTTTGCTGCATTTTGAACAAATGGATATGTGGATATGTTGAGTAGGTGCCTATAGTATGCTGAAATGGCCGATCCAGGTTCAAGCCATATGCGGATTTGTAAATGCTTTCTTTCACTAGCAGCATAAAGCTAAAGCGACGGAAAATTTAACTGGATTTTGTTTGGCTCGCGCTCACCATTGATTCACTTGCTGGTTTTTATACCCGGTGGTCCTCAACTTGTGTGACAAAATTCATTATCCAAAAGCCACATATTTTTAATAGATTATTAACAAGTTATACTATACAAACATAAAATTTTTAGTTTGTTAATTTTTCATATGGACAAATCCAAATTTCGTAATGTAGATCCTGCTTGCAGACCATAGATCTCGAGAGCGCTGGGTGCAATGGTATGGAGCCATTTAAAACATTCTTATTGATTATCTTCCTATTGAAACCTTTAGTGATTTTTGAACTAAGTAAATCAGATTGGATCCCTAAATAAAATAAATATTATGCTCAAATTTTCAATAAAGCAAGACTTAATAAACTTTAAGCACGTTAACAACTATCTCAAACTACTTTTTAAAGTCAGTAAAATTGTTGAACCTGAACTCCACTGACTCCATTTATTAACGGTTTTAATAAATGATTGTTGCATTGAAAAAAACTGATTGTTGTTTCGGAAGTCTTCTACAGTATTTAAAATTATCTTGTGCATAAACACAAACCATATCGCGCATTTCTTCATTCGAAAATAACTTAATATTTCGGTGGGTCCGTAGGGGCATTTTCAATAAATGCCAAGTAATAGTAGAAGTTTAAATATTTCTTCTAGCATTAACTCATACCTAACTGATAGTAAAACAAGTTTTGTCAATGGCCCACTATAAAAATTTTAATTTAAGACAATATTAGGGATCCAATTTGAACACCCATGCACATGACTAGAGGTTTCAGTATGAAATACCTCGAAAATGGTGAGATATAGTAACTTAAAATAAGTACACATTTTTGCTTAGAAAATTTCGTAGAACGAAACATGGCTAACGGAAAAGCGATATTATAAAACCCAAATAATTCTGATATTTTAAATGGCCCCAGAGTTTTGCAGCTAGCGGTCTCTACAAGCTAGGTAATAGGAAATTTTAATTTGTCGTTCATAGAAACTCCCAAAAATAAATTTTTATATTAATCAACTGGTTAAAAATCCATTAAAAATAAACGAAATTTTTATTTACACTTTGCCACCCTGTATCTGGGAAACTAATAACTTTCAGATAAGACAAGTTTGCCAGAAACGCAATAGTTTTACCCTAAAGAATATGTGTGTACTTACATATTTTGCCCTAACTTCTATATGTTATTTTTAGAAATAAACCTTATATTTTTCATTACTTCTTTTGATGTCATTTTATTTTAAAAAAATAATATTCTCCGTACAACATAGAACAACATGGAGAATGTCGATATTGGATATAATATAATAGATTTCAAGTCAATATATGTATAAATGGCTTGACAAAAATTTACAGTTAGAAAAAGAGGACTAGAATAGTTTTGATAGGAGTTCAAATATAATGAAGTATAATAATAACAAAATCTATTATAACCATAAGTACGTAAGTTAGTAAATTAGTTTTACAAAACTAACAGTTTTGAAAAAAATGTCACCATTTTCTATTTTACGGCGTACCAAACTGGTAATATCTATTTGTTTGTCTTTGGAAAATATAAATCACTATATTACCTATATGGCTCACTTCCTTACGTATGCTTATTTTCAGAATAAACAGATAAGCGCAATTATTCTCTTTATTCGAAAGAGTGTGTCTGATTACCGTCCAATTTTGTTTAGGTTTATTCTACCATCAACTAATCGTGAATATCTGCAATGGACAGTCATCGTTTCTCCATTGATATTCGTTTCACCTGTCTGTGCAGATTAAATTTACTGCGCCCCCTTCTTATTCGGCTCTTTATTCTGACGTGTCTACTTACATAAATGTATTATTAATCGGGCATTTAAAGAAAAAATATACATATAACTGCTTAAAGTTAGCTATAGTTTTAATTTGAAGCTTTTAAATATTTGATTGAAATAATTTTTAATTTTTTGTGCAAAAAAATGTCCGCAAGTATCATAAAATGTACCTATATTTAAAAATGCATTTTTGATTTCACAAAAATACTTAAATATTTAATTAATGTTGAACTGCTTGCCTCGTTAGCTGGACATGGACCCTTAATCCTCTTATTCCAGTTATGCCGTTTAATTTTTAATCATCGCCTGCATCCCACCGTATTTTGATTTTTTTGTAGTTTGCATTCATTAAAAGCGGAAGCTGGCTTAAATGAATAAAGAAAATAATGCTGTATAGAGAGCTTTTGCATTTGTAAATAATATGTGATTCTTTGAACAAAGTTGCGCTAACATGATTGCCTAACTGTTTAAATTCGAAAATAAACATGGTTTAATTATTAGTAATTTAGTAACAAAATAGCCGGATTTACGTAATTCGTTAATATTGAAATACATTATTTTCGTTAATAAAAAATAATTTCGATTATATCTATTGATAATAGTAAAAAGTTTTAACTATTGATAATAGTAAAACTAACCACTAACTATGGGGATGCTGTACACTGACAAGCGGTTTTGGTAGTAAGCATCAAGGTTCCTGAAAAAGTTAAGTGATTTGCATGATGAGATTCAAAAAATTATTTTTTTAGAACTCTCAGAGCAAAATATCTGTATGCAGGTTGATTCAAAATTCAGTTCATTCATTTTAGGGCAGTGTTTTACATCTTAAAATAAGGTAAAAAGTTCATATAAATAAACATAAGTCCGCAAAAGCTTCGTTTTGAAAATTTAGGATATCAAAGTTTGAAATTACATTGTGCAAATCATAGAAAAATAAAGGTGTTTCTCTGATACCTTTGCAAATAACTTGAAACCGGTGGCAGTTAAGTAAAAATAGCAGTAGACAAAAAAATTTATAAATTGGAAAGCATTTGAAAGAAAGCATGTCGTCAAAAAATAAGTTTTGGCTAGTAAAAGGAGCACAACTTTAGAA